ATTTCCGCAGACGCTGGAAACGAATGCATCGCCAGTTAGATCACTTCTTCCAAATGGCAGGGTGGTGTCGTCCATATTCGTGCTGGACCCTGAAGAAGGTCCCACGTCAATGCATGCTGAGCCAAGGCTATCTGTGCTGGTTTGAAGAGGAGTGGTGCATACTCAGTATGTAGCCGCAGCATTTTAAACGCTGGGGAGCAAACACAAATCCACGGCACTTCACAATGGCAATGAATCTTCTCTCAGTGCTATGGAAATCTCAATGCTCAAACGTCCTTTAACAGTGCTGCTTCTTATCTTTTAGCTATAACATTATAGAAGTCATCTGTATTTGCACTCTTTTCTTTTGGCCCCTCTCCATACAGTTTCACACGTACAGAGCAAAGAGAAACAGGGTTCATGCACCAGCAGTGGGAACAGTGAAACTTCCTAGACTTGTTTGCAGTGGCACAATGTGCTTCATTGGCATCCTTGAATCATTCATAGTCTACAGTGCATGAAATACTTATTATTATCACTAAACCAAAGGCTTACAGACTAAACTCAAAGTTCACTGAACTCCCTGCAAAAACAGCTCCTGGTAAGATGGACCAGACCATGTCAGGATGCAAAGTTCAGACAGGCTATAGGAAATAGTTCTGCTTTGAGCAGAGGGCACTTTGGATAGGATGCCACAGTGCTGTGCCATGAGATCCATATAACTGCTGAAGAAGGGAGGGAAAGAGCAGCCAGAACATGCAGATGACCCACCTCCAGGCAGGTGGCAGCCACCAGCTCTGGGGAAGCAGAAATCTGCTTTGGTGCCCTGGCTTAAAGAAAGTTGCACTAATGGAGGCTGATCGTTATAGGAACTGATATCAGGAGAGGAGTTGTGGTAATTGAAAACTTCTGCTTTCCAAGGTAGTATTTATAGGAGGCTTTAATGCTTGCTTTGATGAAGTAAGGACTCAGATGCCCTTAAACAACAGAAGGTCTTACAACACATTTACTTTAAAGGAAAATTCCTTTCCAGCTCAACAAGAAGAATCTGGAGGTGAGTGTCTAAATGCTAGGGTGGTGCTGAGATGTGAGGAAGTCTTCACAAAGCATTACACAATGTCACAAAGGCTGTAGCCCCTCCAGACAGTTCTCATTATAATAACAAAATTAAAAAAAAAACCATTATGCGACGTCACGTTATATTTCTTTCAGTGGAAGTGTATGGAAGGAAGTCATTTGAAAGAAAAGCCTTTTCATAAAAATATAAATTTTGTGAAACATAGCACTTTGTACTGTCCTGTAGAATTGTTGGGGTTGATTTTATTTCATGTTTGGCTTCCTTTTTGTTTTTTTACCATGTTTCATCACGTGGTGAGAACAATACACTCCACTTTTTGGGGCATAAAAAGACTGAGAGGAGATCTGATCCATGTTTATAAATATCCAAAGGAAAGCAGGAGGCAAATGGATGAGGCCACGCTCTTCTCAACAGTATGCAACGATAGGACAAGGAGTAATGGCCTAAAACTTGAGCACAGGAAGTTCTGCACTAACATGTGGAAGAACATCTTTACATCAAGTAAGGGTGACGGAACACTGGAACAGATTGCCCAGAGTGTCTCCCCCTATGGAGATGCCCATGACCTGTCTGGACACCTACCTGTGTGACCTACTGTAGGGTATCTGCTTTAGCAGGGAAGTTGGACTCGATGAGATCCCTTCCAACAACTGTGATTCTGTGATCTCAAATCATCACAATTTCACTAAAACGTAAGAAAACGATGCTCTGAAAAAAAAAAATAAATCACAACATTGTCCCAATCAAAGCCCAGCTGCAGATGCTAGTAGCAATTTAGAAATAATAAAAATAAGTGCTTACACTATTGTATCACATGACAATTTGTTTTCACTACAGACAGTGTTACAGAATAATATTGATACGATCAAATAAAAGAGCAAATTTTCAGGAACAGCTTTTGCATGGACATGAAATGTTCAAATGCTGAAAATCGTGAAAATGAAGACTTGTTGGTAAAAACCGTGTGCTGAGAGAAATGAAAGAAACATATGAACCCTTTACTACATCCCACCCACTAACAAAAATGGGCTCAGAAAGGCCAGAAACACCCACAAAACAGTTGACCCCACTTCCTGTGCCTCCTTAGCGTTCTGGGCCTCCAAACGGGACCACAGCTCTCAATGCCATAAATGACACTGCACGGGGCTAAGAGCTCAGTGCTTTTAAGGCGACTTCTTAATTTAACTTGCAATTTATGAAGGCATTTTACCATCCTTCAACTCTCATTTTCTCTGAGCAAATGCAGACCCCTCTTTGCAAGATGTCAAATAAATGAATATCGCCAAATTATTAAAATTAAAGGCAAGTGCAGAGTTGGCCAAACAAATTATGGCTGGAAACCAGCTTCCACATTCCCCTAGTGGCTTTCAGATGGTTGTGGAAAGATGCCATCGGAGAAAACGTCGTGTCTGCAAGCATCACCTCACCCTGGTATGTTTGGAAAGCTTATAGAAATCCTGTGCCACAGGGAGTGGGCTGTGTGCAGATCATACATCATCCTGCTGCTTTCTGAGGGGACACTTGAAGCCATTAATCAGTGCTAATGGCAGTCCTGGTCTACCTTGCCCATTGTGGCTTTAATTTTCTTCCCAGTTTCAAAGTGATAGAAGGTGGCTGAGTATGGAGACATAATGGCTGATTCCATCTGTCTGGCCCATCTTAACCAAATTGCCTGAAATGCATCTAGATATTTTCTGAATGCATCTTGCACAAAGCTTTCAGGCAAAGGCTTAGCCATGCCCCCCGTTAACTCACAGCCTTCAATAAGCATACATTTGATAGGTAACAAGAATGTCCAGCATCTTACCTGTGGTTTTCCACTGATGGGCAGCCAGCTTGGCCAGCACTTTCAGTATTTGGGCATTTTAGTACCTTTTTAGGATAACAATCACAGCACACATAGAGCTCCTGGCCAGGCATTCTCAGACGGGATGATTTGCTGTTGGAAAGATTTGTTGTGCCTTTTACAAACACCAGATGCTCGGTGAAGAGAAAATAAAGCATACTTTCCAGTAAACAAAAGCAGGTTTCATTTGTCTCTAAAGCATAAACAAAATAAACAAAAAAGAAGAAGAAAAAAAGGGAAAAAAGTGCAAAACAGCTTGTACATATGCATCAGGGGGAGAAAGTGGTGAAAGAAGTGAGAAGTGCATGTACCTGGAGACGGATTAATGGGCTCTGTGGTGCAACGATGGTCTTGGAGGGCTGGAGCCTCCTTTCCTCCACACAAGGCTCAAACACTGTGTGGGTTTTCTTTTTCTTGCAGGTTACTCTTTGCATGGGACAGAGGGCTCACGCAGAGAAACTGGAAAATGACCCTGAAGGAGCTGATAGGGAACAAAGCAAGTTAAACAAGCAGGGGCTTCCCCAGCAGGAGCTGGGGGAATGGAAGTAACACATACTAGAGGAAATACTTTGAGACTGTGAGATTTACTGCAGCCTTGGTTGGTTTTCATAGCCCAGGGCAAATATTAGAGCATTTCATAGTGCAAAGCAAAACCTCTTCCCTTCCACACTGCTGCAGGAAAAGTAACTGCATTAGATCCTGAGATAAGATTGATGAATGTGATCCACTAAAAAAAGTTGCAATGACTGACATTATAAAAAACAAGGGCAGGCTCTCAGATGGGCTCTTCTCCTCAGAAATACAAGAAATTCAATGAGAGGTGACCAGAAACCTCATCCTGTCTCCTCCAGAGAGACGACCAAGAGGGGACAGGTTTACAGCACACAAATTCAGGGCTTGAGTCCAGCAGCCCTTTAAACAATTCATATTTATCAGGCTGGCATTTGCAGCTCAGATCTCTCCCCAGTGACAATAAATCTCCAGTACTTTCCAAGCTGCTGCACGGAGATAGTTGCTGACCTATTCCCCAGGAGGGTTATGGGCACCCAGTTGGGACAGCCACAACATGAGCTTCATGTTGGGGCACTGGAAGGAGCCACTTCTGAACTGCAGCAATACTGAGGTTGGATGTGATTTCTAGAATTTCAGATCAGGGTTCGTTTGGCTTTGTTTTGATCCACCACCACCACAATTCCAAACCATTTCATCATTTTCTTCCTCTTTTTGACTTTAGAGGAAATTCTGGCATCAGCTAGGACAAACGCTTCCCAAGTGGAAAGAGCAGGGATCCTAAAGAAAAGTCTGGTATCCTTGATTGGAGACAGCTACAAGGAGTACTGAAAAGTACCCGAAAATCTCCTTGTACCACCTAAAGAATGCAAACTATCCAGGTATGACAGATGGACCCCACTACATCTGCCAAGCCCACACCCACCAGAAGTGCTTGCAGCTCAAGCTTCTAGGGAGTTTTCCAATGAAAATATCAGAAAAGGCCAAGTTATCAGAACCGAAACGCTCTGAAGAATTACACTGCCTTCAGAATACTTCCATGCCAGGATAAACTGAGGGGCTACATTTCCAGAGAGGGACCCAAATAAAGCAGAAACAGAAATTAAAGATCTGAAGAGCCTTCTTCAGTATACTTTGAAGGACTAGGTGGAAAGACAAGACCTGTGTGCTGCTCAAAGCAGCAGGGGTGACAGTGCTGCCATGGCATTCCAAGGAAAGGGCAGGTCAACAATGCTGATGTGAGCTTGTGAATGAGGACTGGTGGCAAAGATGCTCCTGAGAGCAGTTTGCTCTGCATATCCCCGTTGGGCTACGGTTTGATTTGGTTTCCACATCCCTCTTGCAAACTGTCCAGGGGTGACAATGGTACAGGAAACCACCGCTCAGCCTCTGGCTGTAACCCACTTGCAGGAAGCACGGTTCTCCAGCCCCCTCCAGTGGCTACAAAACAGGCTGTGGAGTCAACTAGGGGACCTGGATTCAGGAGTAGGAAAACCAGGAAATAATTCAGGTTTAAGAATATTAGGAAATACGTAGGAGCATTTCTTCTTCCCATGGCGAGGTAAATGATTAGGCACACAGCCAAGCTCTTGCACTGGAACATCTTTATTTAGCTACACACAGACCCACCACAGATATCTCCTATCTGCTCTTGGATCAAATCTTACTGCTGTGCACAATCCTTCTACCCTGGGCAAAAGAAAGGAGCACTGAATAGTGTTCCTTGAAGCAACACTCTTGGCTGTCACCTCTGCTTTGTCCTGGGCAGGTTCCTAGACCCCCTTCTTTAATGGGCTAAAGAGGTGCTGCGCCTCAAAGGCCGGTTTTGGTGTAAAAAGTGCTTTATTTGAATAAGGGAAAAAAAAAAAAAAAGCAACAAACACTGCAACCTGGTAGATTTCATTCTGCCATTTGCACAACACCCAAATGACAGGAAGTTACATTTGGGTATTACGCCAGCTACCAGCATCTCCTGCTCTCAAAAGTCCCTATAGAACAAAGAAAACCCACAAGAAAAAGACTCTCTTGCATATCTTTGCTTATTCCAGATCTGCTTCAGTTCTTTAACCATTTTCCAAATCTCATCCCACCCCATACTTACAGCAAGGCCACACAATGCACACTTCATACATAATGCACAAATACAACAGGCATTCCTCAGTGGAGGAGATGCACACTGCAGAACTGTTCAGTTTCCCATGTCTCACTGGTTATTCATGTTATCTGAGCACGCCTCCCAGTCTGCATGGAAAACAATACTTTTACAAAAAAATGTATTGCTACATAGGAGGAAATGGTAAAGTCTGAATTAAGGCAAAAATAAATGTCACTTACATAGTGTGAAGACATAATATATGCATATTATTACTCAGATTTCATACTGGAAGACTATTGTTTACTGGGTTTAAAGGGACAGGGACAGCCAGAGGATATGTGCTGTGGCCCTGCAGGACATCATAAATCTAATTTGAGATTCATTATTACAATGAAAATTGCAGATATTCTGTGTACCAAACCATTTCATCTAGGCAAAGCTGGGTTTATGCTGCCTAGCAACAAATGTCCACAAGGACAACTCCAGCAGCAGCCTTCACACTTACAGCTTAATGTTACGTGAGTTGTTCTAAAGCACTGGACTCTCTTCAGTCCCTCAAAAAGGTCGTCCACTCAGGTTTAAGGCTGAAACCTTGGCAGGAGGCACAGTCCCTCAGTTAAGATGGCAGATGGGTGGGCAGTCCAGCAAAAAGCCTCCTGCACTTCCAAGGTTTGATTGTGCAGACACCCAAGTGCTTGTTGAACTTTAAGCTTGTTTGCTATGAGTGTGGCAACCATCCTTTGATCCACAGGGCTCAGGGACTTGAGGTATTCACTGTGAGGGGAATACTTGGAACTCCACACAGGTTGGATTTGGAGACCCGTATGGTCCTTAGATGTGAGGTCAAAAGGACCACCCCGAAGCACAAAGTTCAGCACACTGTTAGAGCATCATGATTACTGTACTTCAAATCATAAATAAAGAATGGGAACTAACCAAGGCTGAAGCCCCCACCCTCAGCATAGCTTGAGCTTACCAACAGGACCTACAAAGGAATCCTATCAGAACCTGACAGCCCACGGAAAGAGTGCTTTTCCAACTCACACTCCCATGGCTGGGAGCACAGAAGGAGGGCTACAACTGTTGGCCTGGGTAAGGCTTCACTGGCTGACTATCCACAGGAAAGATGTAGGACAGTGTCAATCAAGGGCACAACAGTCAACAGACCAAATACAGAAGGCAGCTATAATGAAACTTGTAACAGATATATCTGCAGAGGCTTAGCTTTAACTGTGCATTCTAGTTACACTGTGCACTGAGTTATTTGTTATGCCTCCCCAGAGGAGCACGTGCCTTCCACCTCTTCCCAGCTACTTTCTCCCAAAAGGCACTAATGTGTGAGTGGTTTGCAAAACTATGTGAAGAAGTAAAAACTGGAGTGAAAAAGTCGACCCAAAGAAGCTGTTGCCATGGCATTTTCTCTAGACATCCTCCCTCATTTTCTGCCTCTGTACACTAGGGTTAGAGAATATGTTTGGTCCGTGCTCCTGCAAAACATTATGGTTCTACCAGCAAGGTGACAAGCGGCTTTACAACCTGCCTGCATCTTTTAGGCATGTTAACACTTCCATAAAGCAGGCACACAACTCTCAGGCAAAATGCTCATGGGCTGCCCTAGCCTCCCATACGGTGAAAACCTAAACCATCTGCAAGGCTGAAAAGGAAACAATGCAATACTGCTGCCTTCTCACCTTGAAAGCACGCCCATAGCTACACAGCCTTGCCATTATATCTCATCTGATGAGGATTTTTGAAAGGGTCTGAACAGTGAGTGAGTGTGACCATCGCATTTCAGCCTTTTCTCAACAGTGTAATGCTCAGTAATGCAAATCTTGCCTCCTTATCCTAAGATAAGTGAGCAGAGCAATGTACAAGACTGCTCTTCCAGGCCCAGGCACGGAACAGAAATAAAAGGAAACAATCAAGAGTCTCCATTTCTTCCTGCCCTTCCTCCTTCTGCAAAAGCATCTCAGAAAGATGCTTCAGCAGATAATAAAAACATACAAAGAAGTTCACTGCTGCTTATCAAACTCCACCACAAAAAATATCTCAGTGCGAAGACCAGGAACTGAGCTGTGACTTTGCAGTCACTGGCGCATCTGGAAAGAAGCATTTCATAAACTAGTGCTACACCCTATTCACCTTTCTGCTCTTTCTTTAGGTATTTGTAAGCATGTATCTCCAACTAAAAGACATGCAACTTACCCCTCCTTCAGCAATTGATCTGAAGTGCGCAGCAATTCAAGGAGTGTCTAAGAGCAGAGCACTCATTCAGGGTAAAACACTGCTGGCATAGGCTCTATAAAGGACTGCTTCATTCAGAATCATGCTACCTCCTGATTCTTCGATAAAAGATAAAAAATCCTTTCTTCTCCCTTCTCCACAGTGCTGAGAGAAGCAGGATCAAACAAAAATGCCTGTCAAGTGGATCTGTCTGGTCATGTGAGGTAAGGACTAAAAGGTAGGTAGGAATTTCTATGTGCTCTGCATTGTCAGCTACTTTACTGGGCCTTCAGCAAGATCACAATCACTGGAATATAGCAAGAAGGCAGTCTACAGATAATTTTTGTTATCTTTTTCTTCATAATCACACAGATATATTCACAGCCATTGCATCAACCACTATCCAGCACTGCAAGAAACAATTTAATTTAGCAGCCCCTCCACTCCTGGTCATTCTTGGTCATTCTCAAACATTCAAACCAATTTTACAGTGAATGGATGTGTTTGGTCATTGCTTTTCCAGAAAGTACCCTAGAAATCTTCCAGGTTCACATTCTGGCTTCGTCTGAGTATCTCAGTCCTTGACCCACCACCACTGCAGCAGTGACTGAACCACAGGGATCACATCATCCCTGCAATGAACTCCGTGCTGTTCAGTTTCCATAGGTGAAAATACTATTTCCTCTTCTGTCTGTATCTTCTCATTTGTGCTACAGCAGTGTCCTGGGCAGTTGGCAGGAGGACTGGCCAACCCTTGCCTCATCCATCACAGTGCTGGAAGGCGAGCTAACGTGCCACAGCAGGTCTGGTGGTCTGTAGAAACGACTCAGATGGGATAGGATTACACATTCTGCTGCTCTCCCATCTGTGCAACGGGGCCTCTGGAGGAAGAAAGCCAAGTCAGCAGCTACCTTGCAGCACGTAGAGACATGGATACAATTCTCCAAGTAATGCACAGCACTGGACAGGAAACTTGATGCATTTTACACCAGAAGAGGACAGAAGAAAATATACCTACTTTTACAGCAGCAACCACAAACTCCACAGGGAAGAGAAAGGCCAGGTACTGACAGCAGAAAGAGAACAGTGCTGCTGCAATCCCCTCACCAAGGCAAGGAGAGACTCCCTTGCACACTGTAGGAAAATGAAAGGCTTCAGTACAGGAACGTTTGCCACACAAAAGTGCCTCTGAGACCCAAGGCGTGTGTAACACGGAGCAATAACAGAGGTAGAGTCGTAACAAACAGACATATGCTAACAGCTATGGGATATACTGTGTTTGCTCATGTAACAGCCACACACACTTGTGACCTCACTGCCCGACCTGCTGCCAGCAGATCACCAGTGAGATAACTGGCAGCTTAAGTGCAGACACACAAAATCATTGCACCCTAAAACTGGAGGGGAAACCCACAGGGGCAGGGAATTATGTGCATTCCATGAGCAAACCAGTATTTTTCTGGGGGCAAAGAATTGGCACCTGGCTTTGTCAACTCACTCGTTTAGCAAATCAAACTGTCCCAGAAAGCAGCCGGTTGCCCTTTAACTGTGCTCATGAAGTAAAAACTGTTTAATGGGGTCTGGGACTGGAAGGATATGGATCAGATCCAGACGAGATTTGCCAAGTATTCTTCGTACAGCTATGCGGCAGAGAGACAACAGGCTCCGGGCGCGGCCTGCAATAAAGAAAGCAGAGAGGAACTGTTGAGGGACAGATGGAGGAAGATAACAGCATGTAAATTGTGCAGAGCTACGGTTGGCAGCGGAGGAGCCATTTACCCCTTCCAAATGCTGAGGCTATGACCTGCACAGCAACACGAAGGCAGTGCAGGAGAGCTGAGTATGCACAAATCCTCCCTACGAAGAGGCCAAACCTTTTGGCCAAGGATTTGGAGCGATCACAGCTGCCACACAGGCAGCTTGGAAGGGTAAAAAGGGCAACTGCAAGGGGTTGTGACTACAGAGCGAGTTCCTGCCAGAGCGGGTTCAAAAGATCACTGCCCAATCCACACCAAGTGAGGCTGTGAGAGACTTTATCCTAATCCAATCATTTTTAAATAGATGCGGACTTTCTTTTTGCACTAAATCATCCCCTGGGAATCAACAGCACTGATGTTCAGCTCAGGTCTTACCACAGATTTCCTTTGATGGCTTCCATTGAGTTCACGGTGAGCTCTTCCACCACAGGGATGAGAGGATGGTGGCGTCCATGTTGATTCAGGATACCCAGGCTCTCCTGGGTATCCCTCCATTATCCATCATGTTCTACCCGAGGAGTCCCATGTGCCTCCTAAAAACAGGCTTAATGGAAACCACCTGCTCTGCATTTGTGTCTCCTTTCAGCAAAAGTCCAGGCAGGTTTGAAAAAGGCATGTGCAAAGCTGAATAACTTTGGGGTGGAGCCTGGGAATTGAATCCCATATCCTGAAACTCTTTTCAATTTCTCTGGTCTGGAGTTCAAGAGGGAAACCCCACTTTGGACTCTGGTACAAAGCCCTGGCCACCATTCTCCACCATTTTTGTTCCTTTTTTCCGCATTTACCACCACCACTGCATCTTTATTTCCCAAGAAGCCTGCCCAGACACAACTACCCTTGAGCACAGGGTCTCTCAAGAATAGTGAGGATTCATCCATACAGCTCTGGAGAACTGGGTCCAACAGGATACACCTGCCTGTGGTTTGCAGACACAAATCCCTGCTATGGTACCAACCTAACCTTCCTTTAGGCAGCTGAGGACAACACCAGGCAACAGAAAAGAGCTGGGAGAAAGATTTTAAAAAGTAAAATTACATAGGCTGGGCTGAGGAGACAGGGATCACTGGGAGCTCAAGGATACAAGAGGGAAATCAGAAGGTGAAAAGTGCAAAATGCAACAAGAGAAAAACAGGGAGTCTAGCTGGGAACAAGGGGGTCATTGAGCTGCCACTGCCAAGAAATTCTCCTGAATCCAGAGCTAGATAAAACCAGTCACCACAATAAGTCAAAGCCACTTACCTCGTGCTTCTTTGAAGACTTGCAGAGCCTCAGGGTTGACTTTGACCCTCCCTGTGGAGTCAAATTCCAAGGCCTCCACCTTCACCAGGTTCAGGTTGGCTCCAAAGTCAATCAAGAGGTGGATGAACGCCGCATCACAGCCGTGCCGCAGGACAGCATCCATCACACACACCGGTGAGCCCCGAGAGAAGCCCTGGATGTTGATCGGCCCACGGCAATTAAAATCTGGGTTGGCTCCAGCCTGGAGCAGCAGCCGGAAGCACTGAAGGTTGTGGTAGGCAGCACTGATGTATAGTGGACAGACCACAAGTGTGGTGAGGGGGCGCAAGGAGGGGCTGGAGACCCGAGAAGCGAGGTGGTGATTCACATCCACATCTGCACCATATCTAGAAAGGAGAGTAGTAACCTCTTAGAAACAAGGGCAACATCAGCATGACTAGCAGCCCAGGGACACGAAATGATGAAGGCAGAGGACACAGAGCACCAGCACCATGTGGGATGCCCGTCCTTGGTTCATCTGAGCCCACCACCCATCTTCCACCCATGCTTATCCCCAAAGTACAGGAAAAAAAAAGTCAAGCTAAGGCCATGTTGGTTCACAAGAAGAAGTGTCTGCAAATGGACTTAATGCAGTTTCACCCATTTATCTTCAAAGTTAATTCAGGGGACCTTTTTGTAATTGTCTCTCTTCCAGGGACAGGCTTAGTACAGAAGCAAGGATGTCATATCCAGCATGGTCTGATCTTCGAGAAGCAAAGCTGTCCTGCTGCCAGAAATAGCCCAGGCTTGAGACAGAGGAGGCTGAGGGACACCTTCCCTCACCCTCCTGAAGGATATGCCAAGCACAGCTTTGGCACAAGGAACAGCTCAGCCCTGAGCCAGCAGCATGGAATGTTGGATGCTAATGGGCTGGCTGGAAAGCAGGGGATGTTTCCAAATGACTCAGTTGAAGAGATGCAGTGAAGTAACTTCCCCACCAGTACAAAACAGGCCAAAAAGCAATACAAGCAATTGATCTGCCTGTCACAAACAGCAGGGAAATGGAAACAGAAATCAGTGCTCAGCAGTGAAACACATATGATAAATCCCGCTCCCAAAGAAACTTGGATGGTTGAAATCCCATCAAAAATCCCATCCGAGTCAAAGAAAGACCTTTTCTCTGGTGTTTATCTCAGCTGATAGGATGTACCCGCCAACTCTAAGCGTGTCAGAAACTAGAACAATATAAAATAAACGTTGTCAGACGTTCTGCTCTCCCCATCCATCCTGCATAGATCAATTTACAGGTTATATATAATGCGAGACATTGCATAAGAGATTACACATCACTGGCCAGCACTCTGGGTACTCAAGCAGGGACCTCCAGAAGCTGCAACAGAAAACCTCTCAAGTCTTTTGCAAATGGCTCAGGCCTCACGCTACCGCAGAGGAAAGTCAATACTTCACATATTTGCTACATAGGCTCATGTCTCTCAACTGCTCCATAAGCCCTTTGGCCAAAGCAAGGTAGGTGCCAGCTTGCTGTGGTGTAAAGGCGGGCAAGCAGGCTACAGCCCAGCTCAAAGGAAGTCAGCATCATCATGGTATAGAAAGTAACATCAGTGGAGTAACTTTTTTTCTGGGAGTACAGGTGGCTGTAAGTTTGAACAGAAAACAGAACAGAACAGAAAACAGGGCGTATTGGCTTTGAATCCTTTTTTTTTTAAAATGTTGTTGGGTTTTTTTTTGGAGGGAATGAAGGAAACAGCCAAAAAAATGAGAGCAAAAGGGTCAGGTGTCACACTCTAGAATAACACGGAATTCAAAAAATGGTAATGCAGCACAAATAAGAGACTGCAGAAACAAGCATTGATTTCCCCCAGGCTGGGTAACACCCAAGGAGTGGGACACCATAGCTCCCCATCTGCTTCACGTGCAGCTTGGGCTGGAACAAGAAAGAAGACAATACAATCCCCTGAGGTGTAACCAGTTTTAATTGCAGTATTATAGATCAAGCAAAGCCCTGTTTCTTTCCCACAGGGGAATAAGACATTCCTCCAGTCACCAGACCCCCTCACAAAATTGCAAATCAAGCATTCAGAGAACTAGATTTTCTGTCTTCCTAGATAGCACACAATACTCCTTTCTGCAGTTAATAAAAAACAAATAAGGAAACCACGTGGGGACAAATTCTTCCTCACTGCAAGCATGTCTCTTGCTGATCCCAGTAGAGACTGGTCCCTACCCATTAAATTCTTAGCCAAGCACTTCAGAGGATAGGAATAGTCAGGTTGCACGTGAAGACCCCTATGGGTCCCTTCCAACTTGGGACGCTGGATGATTCTACATCTCATTTAAATTAAGCACATGGAGAACAAGGGCCGGGGAAACCTGCCTGAGGTTTCCTGCCTGCCCTGCAAAGGGCATACGAGGTGATTTTACCCTAATGCACAAGATCTCCCAAGCATGAGGATCTTGGCTAAGAGCTCAGGAGATCTATAGGGTGGAGAAAAGCAAGAAAAAATCGGAGCTAGGCAGTAATGATACGGCTGAGTGCCATAACAGCCACAGCACCGAGCTTTGCTTCCCAGTTCAGTGCACTTTAATGGGACATTCCCACCTTCTGGAGAATCCCACAGCACTTTGCTGAGTTTGCATCACTTTATGCTTTTCAGAAGTACTGAGAGCAAAATAAGAAAACGTGTCTGTTTTGCACTGGCAATCACACACGCTCCCTATAGATACAGAAATCACTTAAAATCAGACTACGCAAGCATTTGAATGGGATCATTTGTGCTACTATGGGACGTTCACAGGATGGCTATGGGGCCACTGCCTTCTGCGGCCATGGTTCTGACCACACAGCAGTCTGACTCTCATTTCAGTCTTAATCCCTTCTCATTACTGCTGTCAACATTCTCATTCTCAGTTCCCCACTTCCCCAAAACATGGAATTCTGCTGTTTCAGAGTCAGGTACCTGTCTGAGGCACCGGTGGGATTTGTCAGATTGCTTTTTTGCTGCTTTTAGTGCAGCAGAAGGACCTTCTCATCCAGAGGTCATCCCTCAGTTGTGCTGGAAATACAGTATGATGGTCGATCCCATAACAAGCTGTTAGGAAAGTAATCTATACCTTGGAAATGGAACTGCAAATATTTCTGCCAGTTGTCTTATAGAATGGATCTCCATTCCACAGCTACCTGTGTATTTACTATTAGAGTGGATATGATTTCAATTATTGCTTGCTTAGCTGGTACAGCAATTGTGGCAGGATTCAGGGATCCTGATTGTGCTGCTTTATGATTACGAAAATTGAACCAGGTGATGTTTGGACACCTGCAGCAAGCTTGACTGGTTGGGCTTTCATTTCAGAACACTGAGACTCTGTCAAGTTGAATATTCTGAAATATTTTCTCATATCTCAGTAAAAGCGTCTTCCTCGTTGCATTTCTTCTGCTAAATCCTTCAGAGCAACATTTCTAAAAATCTCTGAGTGAGCTTTGTAACATAAGAGTGCATTTTAAAGCAAGCAACTCTGAAGAGATCTATGAAATCCGTACTCAGAGATAGTTGAAATTTTGGGCAATCTGACAATTAAGTATTAGCTTAGCAGCCCTGGGAGAGACATCATCTAATAAAAAGGCATTGGACCAACTCCAGTTAATTTTTAATCCTGAAAGTTTTCCAAAATCTTGCTTTTAATATTGCTGGCAAGGTATCCCGAGGAGCAGACGTATAAATCAATGCATCAGCTCTCCATGTGCTGAAATACCATTTGCTACATTTCACCCTGCCTTAGTGGACATCAGGGGAGGCTCTGGGGAATGCAATACGTATGCTGAGCCCCGTACCAGCAAGCGCGTGGCAATGCGACATCTTTCTCTGTCTGCAGGAGTGGGAACAGTTTCCCTCCTTCTTTCTACTTCTCAGCTTCCTTAAAGCTGCACTGTGTGAAAATTAATTTGCCCGCAAGCAAAATTCCTTTCTGCTGTTATTTGCTAGCAGTTACAGCCATTGAAGGGATTCCTTGGAGAGTGTTTATCTTTGAATCCAAATAAACTTTCTGTTCTTTTACTACCCCTTTCTACAACCTGTATTTCCCCCCTATAATCCACTATTATTTGGCATCAAAGGCTCATATAGTTGCTCAGCATGGTCCCTTGTACAAACAGCTTCCAATTTAGAAGACAGGAAGTATCACGGCATGCCAAAGGAAGGAAACTCAAGCTTACACAGCCTTCTGCTGGACCCTGAGCCCACTCCCTGCTGGCGTGGTGCATGGCGAGTGTCCTACTGATGGGCACGTGCCTGGCAGCCAAGAACAGATTGTGCTGCCTTTGTTCCCAAGGACAGAATGTGTTCAGAGCAGCAGAACTAAGCAAAGATGCTTTCTGGTTGTCTGGGTGATCCATGCCATGAGCAATAGGAGTGCGGAGCTGGCCACTGGGCAGTAGTAACAGGAGCCAAGCAGTCAAGACAGAAGCTGAGGGGAAGATGGCCTGCAAGACTGAATAGTGGACGGTGGACACAGAAACAGGATCTGTCACGAGGCCCAAACAAAGGGAAAGACACCTAACACCCTTTTAGGAACTTCTCCCGACAGCACTCCTCTTGCCCAGCTGTGCCAAGCAGGCAGGTGAGGAGCAAACGGATACCCCAGCCGCATAATGGAAAGATCCAAGGGAAGAAGAAAAGCAAGGCGAAGCCATTCTCCACCCCATTGGGATCAACTCCAGGACATATTTCTCACCTGATCAGCTCCTGGAGGATATCTGCCCGGCCCACACGCGCTGCATGGTAGACAGGTGTGCTGCGATGGTGCCGGCTGCCGTTGGGGTCGGCTCCAGCTTCCAGCAGGATCTTGGCACACTCGAGGTGCCCGTTGACCACAGCCACGTAGAGGGCGGTCTGCCCCTTCACATCCACCAGGTCGATCTCAGCCCCTTTCTGGAGGAGGAAGTCGACACAGGGGCCGTGGCCAGCAGTGGCAGCAATGCGCAGAGGAGTGCAGGGCAGCCAGCCGCAGCACCACACCGACTTCTCATTGATCCGGCTAGTGAGAAACATGGGGTCAAGAGGTCTCCGGTCACCTTCTGCCACCCCACCTGCCCCAGCCCCACAGGACAGCACAAACAGCACCCTCCACATTTTGGGGGCTTTACAGCAGCTCTGAAAAGCTCCTGCCGATAGCCTGTCTCCATTGCAGCAGGCTGTGGCAGATACGGCATGCCTGGACTATGGGCTCTAGTGCAGCACTGCTGTATCAGGAACTGCTCATATGCACAATGAGGGACAAACTCTTCCTTAAAACTCAGCCAAATGACCAAAGAAACCCTTCCCCCTACTCCTTTTCCATGGGGAGATGACCCCACTAGAAGTGACCGAGTCAGGGACCAAAACTGCTTAATTAAAGCTGCTTCAAAAGTGGCAGGAGGTTGACAAAGCAGCAGGAAAACAGAAGAGAACTAGAGGAGGAGAAACGCACGGAAACTCAGGTATACACCTCTATCACACTGCTGGCACGTCCACAAACTCAGCCTGGCACCATACAATGACATAAACGCAAATCCATGGAAGCTCAAAAGCGTGCAAACACTGCCCTGGCAGCAAGAAAGGAGCTGGCTTGGAGAGAGATGCCACGTTAAACAGAACAGCAGAAGTAGATCATTGGCATCCTTGTTAGCCTATTGTCCAGAAGAGCTTTATTCAAATTGTATAAGACTTGTCTGGCAGGAAGCTGCTTGGATCCCCTCTGAAATTACTTGCACTACTTGTCACACTCAGTACAGTAATCCAGATCTGGTTAGACCCATATGTCTCAAATATCCAGGCCTCAGTCCCCAACTCCCTGTAAATCCCTGCAAGTACTCTTTTAGAAGCAATGTGCCAAGAGAAAGTGATTTCTTTAAGACCAATGCATGCTGGCTAAAGTGCCCTTTAGCCAGAGTGGTGGTGGATTTGCTCTTCTAGCTCACTCTGTCCTGGCCTCTGTAACAAGAACAAGACAAAACACTTTTCATACACTGCACTAAAGGGAACCTGCTAAGAGAGCAATGCCACAACCTTTTTTTTCTTCAAACATGTTTTCGGAAGAGGAGTAAAAGAAACCCTGTAGAAGTGCTCTTTAGCAGGTTTGGGCATCTCCACCTTACACCCAGTACGATGTTAGTGGTGGTGATGGGTCAACAGATGGACTTGTTCATCCTAGAGGTCTTTTCCACTCTTAATGATTCAGTGACTGCATTCAAAGACAACACTTTTCTGTTCACTCCACCACCTGTGTGATGGTGCTGCAGGTCCTGCCAAACTTTGCTGTTTCATGCAGAAACCTGGGTCAGCTCACTGTCTTGAAGGGCTGCCTGGTCCTGCAGCATGGTAAAAAAAGAAGGCAAAATCTCAGACCAAGGGACCAGAGGCCCAGCAGAGCTGTGTAGGTACAGAAAAAGGGGTTGGCTCATTCTCAATTTTTGCTGAAATGACAGTTTGTAAGGCGAGTAAACATTGTGCACTCTAAGCATTTTTCTCCATATTGCAGGAAAATTAATTAACTATCCCCATGGTCAGAGACTAAGCAGTGGGTAGATTTTGTAACATAGGGTGTTTCAGGTTTACAACTGATTATAACTCCTTTTGTATGTTTTTCTCATTATATGTAGACTCTTATTTTCATGGTATTGTATTTCCATCATGATCCAAAAAGAGTTTGTGCATGGACAACGCAAGTTCACAAAGTGGCCTGAGATTTGCCTCCAGCGAGACTAACACAGGGTTGATTTCAGGTGTGAGCAGAGCAGCCTCCCACCAGACAGCTCCTGTAGAAACAGAGCACAGCACTTCTGTCAGTGGGAAAGGTGTTCAAAAGGAGCAGGCTGTGGGGAGGAGGGAGAGAATCACAGAATCACAAGGGTTGTAAAAGACCTTCAAGAGCATCCAGTCCAATCATCCACCCATCACTAATAGTATTCACTAAACCACGTCCCTCAACACAAAATCCAACCATTCCTTGAACATCTTCAGGGTTGGAGACTCTACCACCTCCCTGGGCAGCCCATTCCTGTGCTTGACCACTCTTTAGGAAAAATTCCAGCCTAATATCCCCTGGTGCAGATTGAAGCCATTCCCTCTAGTTCTATCACCAGTTATACAAGAGAAGAGGCCGGCCCCCGCTCACTACAACCTCTCTTCAGGTAGTTATAGAGAGCAATGAGGTCTCTCCTGAGCCTCCTCTTCTCCAGGCTGAACATTCCCAGCTCCTTCAGCCTCTCCTCATATGGCCTGTGTTCCAGACCCCTCACCAGCTTTGTTGCCTTTCTTTGAACCCACTCCAGGGCCTCAATGTCTTTCTTGCAGTGAGGGGCCCAAAACTGGACACAGTACTTGAGGTGCAGCCTCACCAGAGCTGAGTACAGGGGTACAATCACTGCCCTCTTCCTGCTTGCAACACTGTTCCTGATGCAAGCCAGGATGCCATTGGCCTTCTTGGCCACCCGGGCACACTGCTGGCTCATGTTCAGCCGAGCATCAATCAATACCCCCAGGCCCATTTCCTCTACACAGTCTTCCAGTCAGTCTGCTCCAAGCCTGCAGCCTTGCCTGGGTTTTGTTGTGGCCAAAGTGCAGGACCAGGAGGGTCATAGAATCGTAGAATCATTCATGTTGGAAAAGACCTCTAAGATCACCAAGTCCAACCCGCCATGCCCGCTAACTACGTGTCTCAGTGCCACATCCCCACAGGTCTGGAACACCTCCATGGACAGCAACCCCATCGCCTTCGTGGGCAGCTGTGAAGAAACTGTTCCTAATATCCAAACTGAACCTCCTCTGGAGCAACTGGAGGCCACCAGCTCTCCTCCTACCCCTGCTATCTGGGAGAAGAGGCCGACCCCAGCTCACCACAATCTCTTTGCAGGCAGTTGCAGAGCGATGAGGTCTCCCCTGAGCCTCCTCTCCTCCACACTGAACAACCCCAGCTCCCTCAGCCGCTCCCCATCAGACCCGTGCTGCAGACCATCACAGCTCCGTTGCCCTTCTCTGTGCACGCTCCAGGTCTCAGCGTCTTTCCCTCAGCACCTCCTCACCTCTGGAAGCTCTCCTCCTCCAGCAAGCTCTTCAACGTGGGCAGATCCCCCACGTAGGCTGCATCGTGGAGCCGGGTGTCCTCGCAGTGCTCCAGGGGGTGGTCGCAGAACTGCTCCCGCAGCCACTCCTTCAGATTCCGACCTGCGCTGGAGAGAGGGGCGTTGGGCTGAGCGCCGTGGCGGGCGGCTGCTCGGATCCCGGACCCCCGCAGCTTCCGAGCTTCCCCGCGACCGCCCCGCGGCTCTCCCCCGCCTCACGTTACCTGCGGGCCCGCCCGGGGCGCCCAGGGCGCCCGCCGTTTCCCCCGGGGCGGCCCCGCCGCCGGCAGGACTGCCCTCGGCCATCCGCCCGCAGGCAGCCGGCTCACATCGCGGCCTCCTCTCCGCCGCCGCCGCGGCCCTCCCTTCCCCAGCCCGGCCTGATTGGTGCCCGCCGCCGCTTCCTGCCTCCGCGTTAAGGTGGTTTTCCCCGGCCGGAGGAGGCGGCTCTCAGCGAGCGATTCGTCCTTCAGAACCGCTCGGCTCGGCCCGGCCGGCAATCCGGAGCTCCTCGTGGAGCTGCGCCGCGTATTGCACCTGGGTCGTGGCATCGGTGCAAGCTGGGGGGTGTAAGGATGGAGCGCAGCCCTGCCGAAATGGACCTGGGGATGCTGGTGGACGGCAGCTGGACGTGAGCCACCGCTGTGCCCTCACAGCGCAAAGCCAGCCTGGTTTGCATCATGTCTATGCATCGTGATGCCTGGGCGGCATCAAAAGCAGTGTAGAGGGAGGGGATCTGCCCTTCTGTGCTGTGAGACCTCACCTGCAGCACTGCGTCCAGATGGGGAGCCCTGAGTACAGGAGAGATGTGCATCAGTTAGAGCATGTCCGGGGGAGGCCACAGAAATGCTCCACTTTGCCTCAGAGCACAGGCTGAGAGAGCTGTTGGCTGTTCAGCATGGAGAAGAGAAGCTGCAAGGAGACCTGAGAGATCTTTCGGTATCTAAAGGGGAGCTACAGGAAAGGAGATAGTCTCTTTAGCTGGGTCTGTTGTGACCGGAAAATGGCTTCAAACTAAGAGGGGAGATATGGACTGGATATAAGGAAGACATTTTTTACAGTAAGGGTAGTAAAGCACTGGCACAGGTTGCCCAGAGAGCTGGTGGATGCCCTGTTCTTGGAGGCACCCAAGATCAGACTGGATGGGCTCTGAGCACCTGATTGTGCTGTAGCTGTCCCTGTTCATCACTGGGGATTTGAGCCAGATAATATGTAAAGGTCCCTTCCAATTCAAACAATTCCGTGATTGGCTGTGAGGAGCTCAGCAGGACGAAGCTCTGGGCTGAGGGAGTCTGTGAGGTTTGTCTTCTGCCAGCTCATCATCATCAGCCAAAATGTCCTTTGGTCCATTCCCCACAGATCCAAGCCCTGGTTGCTTCTCAAGTTTCTTTCCAAAAGCACAGAGCTCATTTGTTGGTGCACGGATCTGGGCACTCCTACTTCCAGAAGAGATGTGCTGGAAACAGGCAGTGCCATCACTCTTCAGCCCTTAGCCACCACCTGCAGCTCAGGGAGTAGAAGCTGCTCCGGTGGGCTGCAGGATCTTTCTTAGGTTAAACAAGGTCTACCCATCACTCAAACTGCAGAGAGAGTTCTGTGCAATCATATTTCCCCATTTTTCCCTGCAGCATGGCTCCCTGTGTCTCCTGCTGTTGGGGAGAGAGGAGCTGTGCTGAGGATGGATGGAGGTGGCTGTCAGCAAAAAGGCAAGCCATGAAGACGTGACCAGGAAATCTGCAGGAACAGGCTCTGACCAAAAATCTGCTACTATGTGTAACCCCCGCCCCTCAGGTATTTGCAAGTACAGAGCTCAGAGGTGCACCCTTAGAAGGGAGCAGAGAGCTTGTAGGGTGGCCATACAGGCACAGCACTTTGGAAGTGCAATTGATATAGAAAGACATGCAGAGGTGCAAAAGGTTTGCAAGGAATGTGGCTCTCATCAACACCAGTTTCCTCCGAGGGCAGTTGTTGGAGCAACTCCTTGTGGACCGCAGCCGCTCTCTGAGTGCTGGAAATGCATCTGCCTGCACATCTGAATTCCCAGTGCCAGAGGGAGTGGTGGTAATCCATCTGGCTTTCCTCGAGTTCCACTCCTGCTTCTCTGTGACAGGGCATCAGTCCACAAATGCCAGACTGGCTGCAAATAAGGTTTCCTGTAACTATTTGGGCAGGAGTAATGCAGGGGAGAGATGTGCAATCTGCAAATCAAACCAGTTTGCCTTGCCTAGTAAAAGATCTGAAGGGGAAAGGAATGGATGGGATTTTCAGAAGCCAGTGATGCTGGCCAGTACTGCCACCTTCCCCTGCTGCAGTCCTTATGCCATTAGACAAGACAGATGTCAGGCCAAGGAACATCTCTAGAATTAATTGGCTGCTGGTCTGGAAAAGTGACTCAACGCCTGCTGGGATCTCTTTGAGTCAAAGGGATGAGATCTGGAAACCAGACACTAGGGCTAGGTGGAGCTCAAAATCCACCTTAGATGTACATCTCAGTTCCCTATAGCTATGCCTGATAATAGCACAAGACAGACCAGAGCAGCATGCTAGCTGTCATGTTTGCTGTCACCACAGATTTGATGGGGCTAGGTTTAACGAGCTCCCCAGCTACAGACCATTGTGCTGGACTGCTGGCCAGAGGTGGGGTCCCATCCAGAGCAAAAAGGCACATCAGTCCGTAGGCTTTCATATGCATGGCCTCAGTCCAAAAGCTGTAACACTGTGTGCACAAGGGAATAGTTACTGCAAGGTACAGAAACCTTGCTACTTCAGTGTCTTCCTAGCAAGAACATGATGCCACCTTTCAAGGCATGTAAGGAGAGGCCTTGTCAGCACAGCTTTAGAGATTTGTTTTTTGGCTGTGTCATTTGGAGCTTTTTCCTCTTCTGTCATGGGTACAGTGTAGACAGGAAATAAAAGGAAGCAGAGGGCACAGCAGTGTTTACTTGCAGTATGTTGTCCCCATGGGCAAAGCAGAGCCCCACAGAAGCACAGAGTGACTGGTAAATAGAACAGGCAAAGCTGGAAAGGAAGTGTCTGGTCTGCTCATGATTCTGGGTTCTCAGTTCTTGCAGAAAATGCTTCCTGTTTAACCATTCACTTCTCTCATATCCACATAGTTATATATGATTTTATGTATTTACATGAAATCCAACCCATCCCAAGAAGACCTAACTGGTTCTCATTGGGAGGTAGTAGAAAGGGGGTGACTGTAATTGCTGCCCAGTCTTGGGGATGGCCAGTACAGGGAACCTGTAGGTGCCTTGCCAAACTGCTGTGCAGAAATACAAGCTGATGTAAATCTGTATCACTAAATGAGTGCAATGGAAAAATGTACCTTCTGCAAATATGTTAGCATTGGTACAAGACCTAAGAAATGCCTTTTCCAAGGTTGGAAAAATAATTTTAAATCCAGAATAGCTGACTACTCTGACCAGATGTATCTGTTAAAAGCTGAAAGGATAAGCAGTGGGCACCCTGGCTGCTCTTCCAGCCTGTCACACCAGGAGGCTGGATAAGCCCAGCTTCAGAGCTCAAGCATATACACAGTTATCTTCTATTCCCAGTACATAGCTGGGAGCCTGCAGCATGGTCAGCAGCTTGAAAGGGAAGATGCCAGTGGAGAAGCAGAGTGTAGGACTTCCTATCACAACATTCACCATCGGAGAGTGTCTGCTTTCCAGCTGTGCTCCTGAGGTGCGTGGCTTATTTTTAAAGGCTGCAAAAGGCACTGGACTGAGTAGCTCCTTTGGAGTCAGGCTTTGCTAGCTCGCTCTCTTGGGGCATGTAACTTCTTGAGACCTGCCATGGCCAGGCCTACTGGCAGCCAGGGCACAAGCTCCCTTCCCCCACCTTTGCTCCATGGCTGGCAGTCTGGCAATTCATTCTCTCTGGGCACCATTTTGCATCACTGCACTGATCCCAGGCCATTTGAAACCAGATCCACCCAGCAACTGGGACCTGTTATTTTCTCAAGGACAGCTTCCAGGATCTAAAAATACCAATCCAGCACAGCAGACACACGCCTGGATCATTACACAAGGCTTTTCTCCAGCTCCTGACACTGAAACAGTGAAAAACTAAAAAATGTCTACATGCAAAGAAAGCACCTTCTGAGGAATCCTCAGCCATGGGCAGGTAGCTCAGCCACACCAACACGAAAAAGAAAGAGGAGAGGAGAGGAGAGGAGAGGAGAGGAGAGGAGAGGAGAGGAGAGGAGAGGAGAGGAGAGGAGAGGAGAGGAGAGGAGAGGAGAGGAGAGGAGAGGAGAGGAGAGGAGAGGAGAGGAGAGGAGAGGAGAGGAGAGGAGAGGAGAGGAGAGGAAAGGAGAGGAGAGGAGAGGAGAGGAGAGGAGAGGAGAGGAGAGGAGAGGAGAGGAGAGGAGAGGAGAGGAGAGGAGAGGAGAGGAGAGGAGAGGAGAGGAGAGGAGAGGAGAGGAGAGGAGAGGAGAGAAAAAAAAGAAAAGAAAAGAAAAGAAAAGAAAAGAAAAGAAAAGAAAAGAAAAGAAAAGAAAAGAAAAGAAAAGAAAAGAAAAGAAAAGAAAAGAAAAGAAAAGAAAAGAAAAGAAAAGAAAAGAAAAGAAAAGAAAAGAAAAGAAAAGAAAAGAAAAGGAGAAAAGAAGTCATTGCTGTTACTGTAATTCACACTTAGCTCAGTCTATAAAACTCTCTTCCTGGATCTAAGCCAACAACTTCAATTTTTAGTGAATGCTAAAGTCAAGTTGCCCTGGTGATAAATGCATCTGTGGGGAAGGGAGGGGGGAAATCCCCTCTTTCCCTCTTTTTGCAGAGTTCAACAGTTTTCTGTGGTATTTATGTAGTTTCTGTAGTGGACATGAAGATGTATATTAATAAGTAGCTGCAACAGAAACCAGCAATGAGAAATGAGAGGAGATCTTAATTATAGCATCCAGGATTGCCATTAGGATTGGAGCTGTAATCACAAAGAAGTCATCAGGTGGGTTACATGGTGCCTGTTAAGCTGGAATGAATTTATAGAAGTGCAGAAAGCTAATAGTGCTGTGCATCTGTCTTAACATACATTAATATGACTGTCTTTGTGGAGAAGACCAATGCATAAGCTGTATTTTTATGCATTTTGACCTTCCATCAGGTGCTTGGGGCAGGCATGCTGGTGGGTATCATTACTCTGATCAGGCCGTCAGCAGCAGCAACTGCAGGCCACATCTGAGCAGGAGATGGCAGGTGGAAACACCAACATCACCATTTGCTGGGAGAAATTGCCATCTAGAGCCTTCCTCTGACGGTAGATGTGGGAACACCCAAAGGAGAAACAGGCACCTCCTTCACCTCAGTCAACAAACAAAACACCTCCCTGCAGGCAGATTAGAAAACAACATAAA